ATAGTGGGTTCATCGCTAGACAGAACCACAAGGGACTCAGCGAGTCTCCTTGGAATAGACGCGGTTAATTGCGATATTTTCCGTTTCGATATTTTTTTCACCAGGTACTTGGAGGTGAATTTTAGTCTTCCAATCTGTCATTATATGTCTTAAGAAGGTCACTATATTATCATCGACTTTATATATTCTTAATATATCTACCAACCATTCATGCGGCACTGAGTCAAAGTCTTTCTTATAGTCAATAAAGGCAGTAAAGATGTTCCTTTTTTTGGTGTATGTCTGGTTAGAAATGACTGAGTCGATAATAAGTTGTTCTTTGCAACCCATGGATCCCTTAGCGCATCCTTTCTGTTGAGGTTCTATGAGTATTATCCAGATTTAGCCATACGGCTCACACTCCCTCTAAGGGGAAGTATTATTATTATTATCCAGATTTAGCCATACGGCTCACACTCCCTCTAAGGGGAAAATTCACTCATCCCAGATACCTACGGTATCAAAAGGATTGAGCTCTGGTGGGACTCTTTCCGTGTTATCGAGCCCTAGGTGACTTGGTATGCTGGAGTATCTCCCAAAAATTTTCGTACACATCGGGATGTTGAGAGTAGTACAGCTTTTTGCATGGTCTTGTAGAGATGTTCATTCAGACCTAGCTTTTTTATATTTTCTAGGAGGTTCTTTAGAATGACTCCAGTAGTAGAGAGAATAATAGGTATTGTCTGGGTACTTTCCATTTTCCACTGTCTTCGTATTTGAATTTCCAAATCCCTGTACTTGGCGATTTTTTCGTTCTGTTTAACACGAAGATTATTGTTGTTGGGTATCGCCACATCAATTAATGTTGTTTGTCTCTTTAGTTTATTGACTAGTATGAGATCTGGTCTATTATGTGCCACTGTTTGGTCTGTGAGCACCGTGCGATCCCAGTATAGCTTGTAGTTGTCATTCTCAAGTATACTCTCAGGAACATATTGATAATATGGAAGATGGTTTGTTTGAAGAAGTCCCAGTTTGATAGCTATCTCTTGATGAAGGATTTTTCCTACTGAGTCGTGCCGTTCCTTATATTCAGTTGCAGCAAATGCCTGACAGCCCCCGGTAAGATGTTGAATGGTTTCCTGAGCTTGGCACCCATATCGGCATTTGTCATTTTGGACCTGAGGGTCTTTGACGATATATTTCAGGTAATTTTTGGTTGGTATAACCTGATCCTGAATGGCCAGTAGTGAACCTTCTGTTTCGGGGAACATCCTTCCTGATGTCAGCCAATAGTTCGACGCTATACTGTCGACATGGTCTTGACTGACCTCATTGGGATGTCGCCCGTGCAGAGGCTTGCCCATCCAGGTGCGCATTTTTTCGTTCTTAGTAAGGTGGTTTATGCGCATTTCTGGTTCCCTCAGTTTGATCGGTGTTGTGTCATCTACTGCACAAATCGCGCGATGAAGAGTAGATGTCTCCGCCTGCACCTGAAAATAAGTTCTTAAATTAGTAATCTGTTTTTCTAATTGCTCGCTTATATCCATAAGTCCTCGACCTCCTAAATACCGCGGTAATGTCGTTCTTTCTACTGCACTTCGAGGATGGTGTTTTTGTGCCTTTGTGAGGTGCGTTCGTACTTTTCGCTGAAGATTTTCTATATCCGTTTTTGTCCACTTAACAATACCAAATGAGTAGCTAAGCGCGGAACATGCATAGGTGTTTAGTGCCTTAAACAAATTTTTACTGTTAAGGTGTGAACGAAGCAGCTGTTTTACCCTTCGTATAAACTCAGTTGTTATCTCAGTTTTCATTTGCTTATGGTCAATCTTCCGCGCTTGCTTTATTCCGAGGTATTTATACATATCATTTTCACCCATGGCCTCGATGTTCTGGCCGTTTTGCATATCGAATCCGCCGGGCTGAACCTTTCCTTTGATTATATTTAAGACACGGCACTTGTCAAGACCGAAGTGCATACTAATATCATTTAAGAAATTTTCAACAGTTTTTAGCATCTGGTCTAGGTGGTTTCGAGTGGAAGCCATTAATTTCAAATCATCCATATACAACAGATGATTAAGCTTCGCCACAACAGTGTTGTTATTTTTGATACTAAAACCTGAGTCGGTGGAGTTCAGTAGCTGAGATAGTGGGTTCATCGCTAAACAGAACCAAAGAGGACTCAAGGAGTCCCCCTGGAAAAGGCCCCGGTTAATTGGGATATCTTCAGTTTCGATGTTTTTTTCACCAGGTATTTGAAGGTGAATTTTAGTCTTCCACTCCGTCATTATATGCTTTAAAAAGGTCACTATATTAACATCGACTTTATTCACTATATTATTATTATTATTATTATTATTATTATTATTATTATATAATGATATCGAGCCAAAGCAGAGCTTATGTGGCCCAAATTACAAAATATTTGTATGTACTAAACTAAATAATATAATATAAATCAAATTTTCTCACAAAGTAAAAATAAAAATAATTTTCAAAAGAATTAGTACTTACAAAAAGTTCTGGCAATAGCAAATTACAAAAATACAAATATTACCAAGTATACATAAGTTTTCAAAAGAAAAAAATACAACCAATATAATTAACATAAGACTAGGTACAATATTTTGTTCGTTTTCATCAAACTTGTTTTTGAAACTATTTAAACTGGTAGCTTCTACTATGCCATCACTTAAACCGTATAATTTATCAAAAACTCGGTTAATTAAAAAGTTTTGCCTTTAGGTGGTTTTAAAATACTTCTTTTTCAATTTATAGTTATGATCTCTTAGTCTACCATCCCCCTCCAAAAATCCTCACTAAGAATTATATAAGTAGATATGACATCATATCTTTCTCGTCTAAGAGTTAATGGAGACAACTTGAGCTTTTTTAGTCGGGTTTCGTAGTCTAATCTTCCATAATTAAAAGGTAGCTAGGTCCCTCTTAGTTGTACTCCTTCTAATAAATTAATGTCTTTTTGCAAATGAGGTGACCAAACTGACACTGCAAATTCTAGGTGAGGTCTGACATAACTTTTGTAGAATTTCAAAAACAAGTCTGGAGATATTCTATGAAAAGCTTTTGTGATAAATAATAAAGAAGAGTTCGCTTTACTAACTACTTTTGGTGTAGACCAACTTATTGTTTGGTTGACCGTAACACTAAAATTATTAACTTCCCGTACCGATTTCAGAGGAACTCCATCCCAAAAATATGTATATGAGAATTAGAAGATGTAAATGACAAAAAGTCAGAAAACTTAGCATGTAAAGAAGTAATATTAGTCTAAAAAATATTTATTGTTGTCAACTATATTTGTTTTTTTTTGCGGCATTTTGTTAGTACTAATAATAGTTGGACCTTTATTAATATACTTTATTGTTAGTTACTTGTTAAATAGATTACGTTTTTCCAGTTCCTCTCGCACTTTATTCAAATAGTTTATTTGATATTTAGTTAAGTATTCAATTGAATTCTAGAAAATTTGGTTCCTAACAACCTCATATTATTGCGCAACATAAATAATGGACTATCATTATCTGCAAATTTAACCTTTAATGGCCGTTATGTAAGGAACACTATTGTTTATAAATACTAAAATAATTTACTAAAAACGCCTAAATAGGTTTTTAAAACTAAATAAGTTTTTTATAGATATAATACTTATCGAGTGTAAATTTTATGATATCGTACTTTCAAAATAAAAGTTGCAGTATCTACTATTCTGTAGCTCTGTAAGTTTCAGCATGACCAGTTCAAAATTCAAACCGATAACATTCCTACTAAGTTTTGTTATATTCTGCCAAATTGTTGTACAAAGAAATTAATATGGCAACCCTGTTACTATGTCGTTTCCTTTGAAGCGTTTCGAAGCCGAACGTAATGCTATCTATCGATGATAAATACTACCACTGTTTCAGATGGAGCCATCTCCCTATATTACACATTTGAAGGCGGCGGTTCAAGACATAATTCTTGTTTAACGAGATTTTTCATATGATTAGGAAAAAATATTTAACGTTTTATTGCAAAAATTTTCCACTTTTACAGTTTTATATATGTTGTTATTAAAAAAAATTTTTGGTTATTTACCGGAAGCTTTATTATAAGCAGAAACATACTATTTTTTCCTATTGGGACAAAACTGTAAATTCAAAAATTTTCAAAAAATTCCTAAGTATTTCTTATAATTATATCTTGAAGCTGTAAAAAAATTAACAAAATTATATGTCTGGTTTTCCCGCTTTATACTCGGAAAAAAGTAGTTTATTTGAGTTTTTTTAAAAACGAAAACATGAAGTTTGCTTAAAAGTTGTCAAAATACTTTTAGTCATCTCATACACCTTCTCAAATTTTTTGAATTTGGAATTTATTTTTTGGGGGGTGCAGATCAACCTTAAGCTGTTTTACCTTCCAACCGGTAGTGCTCACCTCACCTTCAAAATTTGAATGATGGTCAACAAGTTATAGGGTAGACAATTCTACAAGCAAAACAAAAGTTTTTATTAAAAATTCTGTTTAAAGATCCTTAGATACAAAATTTCTTTACCGTTACCAAAAATACACAACGATGGGCTCATTATCCTCATTAAAAGCGATTAGTTCATCATTTTAAAAGACTATTAAAGTCCAAAATGTAATAAAAAAAAATAAATAAAAATAACACCTTTTTTAATTTTTCTATACCACTTGTTTGTGGCACTTATTTTAACTCTCCAGTCACTTAACAAACTACTCGTTTTCTCGTATTGCATTTTCCTCACACTTTTTCTTACTGGTAACAATTTAAGTAAAAAAACAAAACACAATTATTTTACTTATTTTTGTGGCTCTTTCAAAATTTTACTTTTCAATTACTTTTTTCAAACTGATTAGCATAACCTTAATAATCTTACAATTATTGTAATTTCAACTAACAATTAAAAATGAAAAAGATCTTATCAGAAATCTTAAATCTAAACTAAAATTCTTGTTAAGTTGTAAAAATATATCTCTCATTATAAAAGACTGTTTCAGTTCTTAATTACGAAATTGGCAGCGATTCTGGTTTTCCTCTCTCTTTTTGGTCTTTCTTGATTACCGCTGGATGTATTCCGTTTCTGAAAATAAAATTATTTATTAATTAAAATATTTGAAGTTCATTGACCGTCATCAATCGGAATGTAGTACAATTCCATTGCTTTTATTTTGTAGTAATGAGTCATACAATTATATATTACATGAAATTACATAAAAAGTTAAGGAAATAACAGGCAGAAATAACAAAAAGAATAGCGGAATATTGAAAAATAGTAACAATCAGATCCTTGTAGGAACTGAAGAAAAACTTAAGTTTGGACAGAATACGTTATGGTCATGTTTCTGTCATGTTGTCACTAAAGAAGAGGTATAACATGCCGTCCTATTACAGAAAAATGGTAAAGTCGTAGGACGTGATGGTACATGCAGAAGCTTAACAGTTCCTGGTACACGAAGACGGTTTGAGGATAAGCCTTCTTTCAGATTTGTTCAACACCTTCTACAGAAATAGAAAAATAGCTTCATATTCGGTGAAATTAACGTTCGTCACCTTATCCAAAAGAGCTAATATATCTAAATGTGACGATTACATGATAGTATGATAAGCTTAATGTCTTACGTATTAAAAACGTTCTTGAGAATCATACACACCCGTATATACAAATAGTGCGAGCGGCAAATGGACGTCACTTAATTCGGATTCAGAAATTGAGTGGAAGCTCGTGAGACTCTATTCTCAGCCAATATATTTTGACAAAGAGCCCATGGCATGAATGTGGACATATACGCCTGATTTATAGATTATCGCAAAGCTTTTGACTACGTTCAACAACAGAAACTAGCAGAAATACTCAGAGCAACGGGTATAGAGGAGGGTATTTCTACATTAGGATCTGTTTAGGTATTATTTTCTCCATTATTCTTTGTACGTGAACAAATCATTTTAGTTGTTAGTGTTAGTGTTACTGTAGTACTGTGTATATACACCCTGTATATTAGTATTGTATGTTGTACAAAATATTTCAAACTTTCTTTTGGTATCAGATTTTACATACCTAGCATATTTTGGTTAAGAGGTGTTTAAAGAAGAACAATATATTTGGTGGTTTTGCAGACTTTTTACTAAGAAATTTTGTGTTTCTATTAAAATATCACAAACAAAAATTATAAAAATGTTAATCTGATTTTATAAACATAAATCAAAATATAAAAAATAAAACGTATGCTATTAGTAAGTACACGATTCTCTCTCCTGTTGCCGACCAGAATGTAGCTTTGACTATTTTTTAAATAATTTTAAACTGTTTGTCCTTGTTTAGTGTAGTGTTATGTACAATTTTATGTTTAATTTGATGTTTATGACATTCTGCGATTGTTGGATAGCCCAAAATTGACGAAATGTCCCTGAAGATGCTCTAGGAAGCGAAAGTCCTTGGGGAAGATTTAATTAATAAAACTGTGTACGATATCTGCCTTTCATTTTATTAAAGTATATTACAAAGTAGTTGATTGAATTTAATAACTCATTATGGTACAACATAATATTTACCTAATCGATACGCTACATATATAAGTGCATCTATAACTAAGTTAATAAACGTTCAAAATTTTGTCAAATATGTTCAAGACAAAGTCGTATACGATTAATAAAGGAGTACCGAACGCCCTATAGCATTTCAGGTCTAACGCTGGCGAAGACATTTTGTATACGAATTTTCATATTATCCTGTATTATGGTTTCGCCATCATAATATTATATTCTTGATGTACCTCCCAAAAGAAAACAAAAAATAATCCATACCACGGTATCCGATTCAACTGTCGCTGTAGTTATTATTTAACATACCATTAACATTTATTGTACAATGCGGTGATCTCCGTCATGTTGAAACCACGTATTTCGTATAATTTCCAAATAAATATCCTCTAACAAGCCAGGCAACTTGTCGGTTGAAAACCTATGATACTCATTGCCAGTAACCATTTGAAAACATAAGGTCCAGTAACATATGATTCAATAATGCCTCCTCAAATATTCAACGACAACCTGTTCTAGGATGTAACTCAAAATAAGTGAAGATTTTTATCAGAGTAATAATGATAATTATGTCTGTTACGAAGCAATTGCGATAAATCCTTGATTCGTTAGGAAATAAAATATTTTCCAAAAAATTTATGTTTCGACTTAACATTTCCTCCGCCAACATACAAAATTAATTTTTTAAACCTGGAAGCTCACACTTGGGCGTGAGATACCTATCCAGACACTTAACTGAACGTAGCATGCTCAATCGCATTTCACTGGTAATGCTGCTTCATGTAAATTCAGTCTCTAGTCTGCCAAGGACGGATATGTAGTTGCGGTCTCATTCCAGCAATATTTCCAATAACGAAAATTTATTGAATAAACGCTAGGGTATGTAGTACCCATGTGTGAGGTTTGCGATAATTTTTAATTTTTTTTATAATGATTTTTTTGGGAAATGGCTTCATGTAGTTGGAAAGAAAGCTGGGAAAAACGTTGCCCGTTGACCCAAACTGAAGTGGAAAGGAAAACTGAAAATTTATTTGCTAATGAAAATAACGAGGATGATGGTCAAAATATCTTTGGTACCGATTCGGAATCTGAGGAGGATTATGTCGAAGAACAAAACTCCAATACCGATACTGATGAAAGCGATAGTGAAATAGATCATGAACCAGTTATAAATATTGCCAGGTTACTTGGATATACACGATGAACTTTTTTCTGAAACTAAGAATTTTTTTAACTTGCTTGATGCAAGTGGTATAAATGCAATGCTGCTATTTTTCCTCGCAAATCCTCATTGGAAAAAAATGCATCTAATAATAGCAGATTATTTCTGAAGTCTTTGAGAATGGCTTTAATAGAACCACTAATGCGAGAGATACTCTAAATAGCTTCTTTACAGAAATCACTCAGGCAAACAATGTATGGCATTCTTCAAGTTGAAAAGCTTTCAACACAATATCCCACAAGTTTAGTAAAGCAAACTAGGTGTTATTTCCGCAAACGAAAAGATAGAAAAACGAAGCATGCATGCTAGGCTTGCCATAAAGCATGGAGCATATACCTAAACTGCGTTATGAATGTAGTCACCAAAATGAGTGAAATTGAAATATCTGGCTAAGAATGAATATGAGTTCTATAATAAAAAGTTGTTAGCTTTTAGTTAGAAAGACCATTTTGTTGTTAAATTAAGGTAAAATATTTTGAATTATGTTTCTTCGTTTTTAGAAAATGTTTGTTAATTATTTTTAAATATTTTTAATATTTTTTTCTTTTGTATTACTACAACTAAGAGAGAGAAAATAAAATGATTGATTTAATTATTCTTGTCTATCCAATACTGATTAGACAGTCTCTGGAAATCATAAAATATTAACTTTTTTTTGTTTCTTTTTTGACAAAAAATCATTGATATCTGATACCCATGTACGCGGTATATATTAAAAAAATTGGTGTGATCTTCCAGGGTTAAAAATCATTTTCATTAATTCCTGGAGCACCTGAATTTTAAAAGGGTGAATTTTTTTACTTCGTTCTTTTTTGTTGCATTTAACTCTACTCGAATGTATTTATATGTGGATTCTCTATTAACTCAAACTCAAAATCTATTTCCATCCCTAAAACCGCTTTTTTACCAAGGGTTTTAAATTTTGCACATTTGCACGATAGAACAAAGCGATTTAAAAGGTTTTTTTCTGTAGGCTGCTAAGAAGGTAAATTCTACCAAATTCAATGTTCACAGTTCAAAGTATCGTACGCAATCCTTTGTTGTTGATTCAATCGTGGAACATTTGAACAAACTACTTCGGCCAACACTTCAGTGTTGAACTGTTCTCTTTCATAGAGTCACCAAGGGAATGAATAATATATTTGTTTACTGTCGTACTAACATATTTGCTTCGTCTTGATGTTTCAGGAGAACTTCAAGGAGAACAGTTCTCCTGAAACATCAAGACGAAGCAGAACTAATCTGACTTGACAATGGCAAGTGTGACCTTGCCGAAGCGTTGTCAAAACAATGGTTTTTCTAAAAACCAAAACTATTTAACGCGGAGTTAAACCCGGAAAACATCTGAAATCACATATAGCTCCCGCGGAAATTTCAAATCCATATATATATATATATATATATATATATATATATATATATATATATATATATATATATATCTATACACAGTGCAAGACTGCAGTAACTTAAAATTTTATGAAAATGAAGTACCTAATCATGGAATTTGATTGTAAACGTGCATATCTATCCCCTGTAAAACTTTCAAATGTAAACCTAGTAACTTTCAAATGTTTATCCGGCTAAATATTAAAACAACAAAAGTTTAACTATTTTGCGTTTTTGTACATAAGTTTCGTGCAAAACTGTTTTAATTCTAATGTAACAGAGTTACAACAGTTTTGCACGGAACATTGCAATGGTTTCGGTTTCGATAACAAGCAACGAAAGGCACGAAAAAAGTAAGATATTTGTTATTTTAATATCTATGTCTGTGGCGTTTAATGTTAATATACAGCGTGTCTACGTAGTCGATTAACGGCCGAGACAATAAACAAAGATTTACGAGAACAATATATTCATGTAAGTATGTCCTTTGTGTGACATTATATTTTCCATAAAATGTGTGCGATGTCGTTTGACCATTTATTTATTAGATTGGATTAAAAACACATAAATTAAGACTAAATATTTACAGCCAAAAAGTATTTTTTCTTATAAAAGGAAAAACAAGGTCTTACAACTTGTGTATTAACAATACTGACAGGTTAAAAATATCTATTCTCAGAAAACTTATTCTATAAAAACTAAATCCCAAATTGTATTAAATCTTCATGTAACCTTCCGCGGCGATTGTCTTATCATATTGTCCCCCGTAATTCCCAACGAATAGATCCAAAACATTGAGGATTTTATCCTTGTGTGCGCAGACAAGTGAGGATAGCAACGAAATGCATAGTATAGTAAGTTGAATTTAAATTAATTGTTTTATTATATGTACGATAAGTGCTTTTCTATTTTTGGTTAATGTAATATAGGCTGAAAAGCATGCAAAGTCATAATTAAATGTTAATTTTTCTTAAAACGTTAAAACGACCTACATCATGTACTTGTACAACCCTTCGTGAGGATGTATGTGGATCTTCAACAAAACTTTGCATGATATCGAAAGTTTTGATGTCATTCATAACTCTTTTCGGTTTATTTAATCGTTATCTATCGTTTACTTCTCCAGATTCCTCAAATCGCTTTAGAGTTTTTTGTAACGTCCCTTTATGAATAGGAGAAAGGTTTGGGAAAGTATCATTGAACAAGTTGGCTACTTCACAATAAGATCTTTTTCTGTCACCGTATCCTCTCATCATTAGAATAGTAATTCGGAACCTGTAATTTTTTTATCTTTCGTATGGGGTTTCAATGGCGCCCCTCATATCCAATTCCGGGTTACGACTTTTGCCATCTTCTGGCGTTAAAGTGAGTGCGTTGATATTATAGTTTAGGTTGCAGTCAAATATTCATTTAATTATCTTTTTTTTTATATTGAGATATTAAAGTTTTAATTAAATTAATTTGTGTATGAAGTTTATTTCAGTTATTTAAAGGCTCAACCTGTTTCAATTATAAGATTATTGATGACAATAATGGTCGTCAAATAATTGTTTGTTGAGTATTTAATAAATACATGTTCGTGATGACAATATGTGTCATCATCTGGTTTTTTTTTAAGTTAATGTATTTGTTTAATTTCCTAAAAGATTTTTTAGAAGAAAGTTTTTTTTCTAATTATTGTCTATCGTTTCTTCATCTGTCTTTGATCTGTTATTATTGTCTTTGTAGATACTACAAAGCTGAACGATCAGCTTTGTAGTATCTACAATGACAGTCTACATGTAGTATCTTATGTTAGCTTTTTCGTTACAACTTATTGTGTTCAAAGTTAATATCCATAAAGGCAGTCAGTTAGATGTAGTTTATAAAGTAAATTGAAAATATTGCAAATAAACTTCCATGAATTGGAAGTATCTTGAACAGTATGGAGATCGATGAAAGGAGAGATCTATGTCCAAAAATGGACGCTAGAAGGCTAAGAAGAAGAATTATTGTAATTCATGAGGAACTATACATATTCCTACCTCGTATTAAGGCCCCCATAAGAAATAACAAAAATGAAAAAAGTGTTTACTTACATTGTTTAATAATATAAAGGGCGAGTTGTGAATTTTGACTGAAATTTCCATTCAAACAGTAAGTTCGACGAGTCTCATGTTTTAACTAAATATTACACTACTACCACCGAACCAACTGATTTATTCAAACTAAAAAAAATCAGGCCGGATTTTCAAAAATTAGTTAATTTTGTTGTCGGTTACATAGCCAAGCGGGCTAGGCGGCCCGTTCTCATTCGTTTCACTGCGAATGGTTCAGTGGATGTGAGTTCGAGCCTCAGCTCGGTGTACAGAAAATAAAAAGGCGCAGCAGTTTAAAATTTTAGATAAATCTGCGGCTTAGACTAGAATATGCTGGTGTGTGATCGGCCTATGGTGGAGCAGTACGGCCAGAGATAATGGATTGCGGCTCGGTGATACTCCTCTATAGATTCTTACCGGAAGGGCGTGCCGCCTACATGCGGTGTATATATAGTTAGTTTTGTTTATAGGAAAACTTTCACCCTGTATTCGGTTTTTAAAAACTCTAAGAATTTTACAAATTAGACAAATAAGCAAATAACCCTAAAATATTTATTTTTTCCCTCTAGGATTAGCTACAAAATTATTAATTAAAACAAATCAAATTTGACTATGTATAATATTTGTTTGAATAGTTTGACAAAGTAAACCATACATTTAAAAAAATTTAACTTGCAAAAATTAAATTTTTTGAACAAACATTTGATTTACCATTTAGTATTAGTACTACCACAGCTAGTGCTATACATTTTAAATAATACAACCGTTTTAGTAAAGTTGAAGAATTTCAAAATATACAAGTTGTTTTGTTGAAAAATACTAAAACAATGTCCTGTATAATATTCATTTAGTGATTCATCACTAAGTAATAATAGTTAAAGGAATAATAAAGTGTTGATTGAAAGTAGCTATCCGCCGAAACACTTAAACAACATTAAAGTGTTTTATTAATCTCAGACCGATAAACCAAGCATGTTCTGACACAACTATTATTGAAAATTTACGGTAAGGAAATAACAAACCTAATATAGTTCTTCTCAGACTCTTCTTTCGGTGGCAATTTCTTTTTAATATTGTAAGAGATAGCGACGAAAAAAGTCCGTGATCATTCAATTAAAAAAACATATTGCATCATCCAAATACATTCATGTAAGTAGCTTTCTAGGATTTATAACCGAAACTTTCAGTTCCCTTTTAAGAACAATTTTCGAGTGGAAATCGAAACATTAAAATGTAATTGAATAAATTTTACATTAATGAATGAAACATTGGTTAAAAAGTGTAATTTTAATCAACTGTTTCAATCAACTGTAGCTTAATCCTATATAAACATAACGTTCTGTTGATATTATTTCACTTAAACTTTAGAATTTTTTAATTTAGTCTGCCTACTATTATTTTTCTACTACTTTCTCTTTTAATGCGTTATCTGTTGTACTATCTAGATATGTTCTATTTATTTATAATTCTTATGGCTTGTTCTCCTATCTATGATTCACATAACTGAAGATTTAAGTATCTAATTATTTTAATACTCTTTATAGTAATAAATTATTTTTTAAAACTTTTTTCAGTAAATTTCGCCTGGAGGGCGATGATTGCAACATGGTGTATTAAGTAGTTCTAATAACAAAATCAATACAACTAACTAGTTTCAAGGTTGTGAAAAAAGATGCATGCGAAGAAAACTTAACTACTTCAGAATTAATATGAATTGATAAGTACTTACAGAATGACTTTCCTGTGGTTTATTCAATTCCCGTGGTCCGTCTTTTCCATTTGTACTTGATAGGTCTTTACTACTATCATTCGATTTACCACTGCTACTAACTTTACTAATATGATTTTTGACAGCCTGTAGAGGGACAAACGAATTGTTTAATACAGCCGTGGTTTCACTGTTAGTAGGTTTCGCTTTATCCCTTGATTTTTGAGGTGACTGCAAAAAACATAAATTGTGTCCGTGAAATGAATACTAATAGGAAGAAAAAACTGATATGTTCATATTAATAAGCCTCCATTAGTCAACCTCTTATGTGGCTGTTGGTTGGGAGAAATGATTCTAGTGAGAATTTGATTTACATATCAAAAAGGTTTTTTACAGTACAATTTCTCTCAAGCTTTTTGTATTAGCTCACGAAGTTGGTTTATTAAAGCCTCTCCTCCATATATTAAGCTCTCTGGCTTTGGTATTTCTTCTATTACTATTTGAGGTTTAGGAACATTATAATAAAGTTTATTTTATTATTATAACCTTTCAAAAATTTGGTCTTCGTCCACTATCAGGTTTCCTTGCTTATCTTTCACATTCATCGTTCTTTCCTGATACCCAGTTTTAATGTATTTTTTATTTTTTTTTATTCATTTTTCTTGTAATTTTCTTCAATACGCTTTATTTTATCATCCATATACTTTCGTTTCCGCTCCCTTGGGATTTTCTTTACTTTTTTTCGTTGTTTACCTTTCTAGGTCGTCTTGTTTTTGCTATCGTAAACTTGTTAATCTCAAATCTGATTTTTTTTACTCTGCTCTACATTCGTCATCGAACCAGTGGTTATTTCTAAACCTGTTTGTTCTTGGTATGTTCTTCGCCGTTGCTTCCTTTATAGTGTTTGTCATTTTCAAGAACTTTTGTTTTATGTTACTCACAGTAGTACTATCTTGTTTGGCGTAGGTTTCTTGTATATCCTTTTGATAATTCTGCACTACCTCAAATTTTCGCAGTTTTCTTAAATTAAATTTACGTTGCGCTTTCTTTTTCCATTTATGCTTTTAATTATTGCTTCTACCATATTAATTTTAACCAAAAAATGAGCTGAGCGTACGTCAGCCCATCTACACGTTTTCACATTTCACATTTGTTATTAAATTGGCGAATTTCTCTTGTATTAAGATCTGCTCTATTTGATTAGTTTTAATTGATCCCGGAATTTTCAACGTGCCTTTATATACACTGTAATTTTATCGTAATGTTGCTTATCTCTTTGTTTTAATAAATTTGTAGAGCACTTCTGATGAAGCCAATAATCAATTGGCCAAAATATTAAGTGACTAAAAAACAGAATTGTTTTAATTCCAGACCGATAGAACCTGACATATACCCAACAAATATTTTATATATATATATATATATATATATATATATATATATATATATATATATATATATATATATATATATATATATATATATATATATATATATATATATATCTGACAAGTGATATCTGAGTTCAACAGAGCTATAATCGTTACTTTGATTGAGGCTACACACAAGTCGACGTTGCTGTCGGGGTTAGAGTTAATCAGAGTGATGTGCCTCGGATTGTGAAAAAATATCGAGACGAATTCTGTTCGCGATCGTCCAAAAAGCGGAAGACTCATAATTACTACCGATGTCCAAGAACGCTTTTTAACGTTAACTGCTCTGAGAAACCCTCTATGACTGCCCCAGCTATTAGAAGAGAGCTCCAGCAAGCTCATAATATTGTAATTTGCGATCAGAATATTAGAAACAGGTTACATTCGGCGAATTTTTTTACAAGAAGACCATTTTTTGTACCAAAGCTTACGTTAGAGCAGAAAAGGACTCGACTGGAAGGGGCAAATGAATGAAAGCAAATCGACAGGATAGACTTAAACAAGCTGTCCAAAGAGTCCCATATTAGGTGGCTCCATAATGTTCAGGGGGCGGTATCATGCTAAATAATAAAACTCCTTTAATTCCTATTGTTGGTAACATGAATGGACAAATTTATATTGATACCATTTTTAGGCCTGTTGTACGCTTGTGGCGAGGAGCTGCTATTCCAGAATTTATTTTTATGGACGACAATGCGCCTCCCCATCGTACCAGACATGTGGCAGATTTTTTAGAGACAGATGATATCGTCAGATTACAATTGAGCACAGTCCCGGCAGCCACCGACAAAGATACTACAAGACCTTAGAATAGCAGCGATTGAAGAATGGGGCAACATGGACCAGAATTACAATAATACACTTATAAGAAGCATGGGACATCGCATTCAGTCTTGCATTGATGCAAGACGTGGAAATACGGCATATTAAGTATTAGATCCTATATCCGTACAAATTTAAATTTTGTTTATTTCATGATAATTTATGATAATTTTGAAAATATTTCATTATCCAAAACATTTTTAAGTATATATATATATATATATATATATATATATATATATATATATATATATATATATATATATATAGATATATAATGAATACTGAATATATATGTATATATATATATATATATATATATATATATATATATATATATATATATATTATATACACAGTTGAAATATTCTAAAGGTGCCGGTGGGGGATGGCGTCTATGCACAGCATTATAGTCGGTGTATGACAGAGAAAATATTAGAAATAATGAAATAACAAATTTGACGTAAAATTTGATATTTCATTATTTCGAATATAAAATGGCTCTGATTCTTCATAAAATTTATCTTTCACTTCTCCTTTTTCTTCTATTGGAACGTGTATATTTATCGGCGATATCATGTTCTCTTTTTCCTTTTAATTCTAATTCCACACATTCTGTCATATTTTGATACGAATCGTTTTAGCTGCTCCACGTTTTCATGTACCGGAAAATACTCTACAAAATTTCTATTCCTATAAAGTGGAGGTGATCACTTGTATAAAACGTGTATAGGCTAGTCTTTTCAATGTTATTTCCAGTCAAATGTCTTCCTTGTATTGCTATGATGTGTATTTTATATTTTTTAAGTTCTTCTATTAGGTTAATTAATGCTCCTTCCTCGTATACTCCTCATCCATTCATGTCGCAATATTTAGGTACGTAGTCTTATTTTTTGTTTTGCTATTTATGTTTAAATTCATTTCCCTTTTCATCGCTAGGGTCTGTCGCCATAATGGACTGTCTGTTTCTTTTTTCACTACTATATGCTGTTTTTTGGGTCCATATTTTTAGAATTTTCTCGTTGAAAGTACCATTTTTGGCCTATTCCCATATTATGCCATCCACAGTTAGTTTTTGTACCCTATCTTCACGTTTTTACCTTCAGCTTTTAATTCCTTGTCTTTATTTACAATTTCCTGCCTCATGTGTATTTTCTTTTCGGTCATGTCATCATTGATGAAGATCTTTTCTCCAGTAAGAAATCTGAGTGAGACGACACATTTACCAACAATTATCGGTTAAAATTATTTTGTTTAAACAAGGGTACCAATATTACGCAAATACGATGTTAACGTCATATTTTCTAATCAAAATCACTAAAAAGTTTCGGTTCAATTTATGAGTGACGCTTTCTGTATATTAAATAAAATAATAGACTGCCTAAAGTTATGCCTATGGGGAGACTTCAGGTATATAAATATACAGTAAAATTATTACCAAAAAACGGAAATATTTAAACTTTGGGACAAAGTATCTTTTTTCTATAACAACATTTTATTAAGGCATATTCGGTAATATATATATATATATATATATATATATATATATATATATATATATATATACATATAATATTAATAGTCTTTCTTTATACCGTTAGTGAAGCTAACAGGTAGGGTAGTCCACTATATTCTGTATTTCTTTGGTCTACGGTATATAAGGAAGCTAAAAGTAGGATAGTCAGATACTCGATCGTTTGAACTATCTGATCCTCCAATAGACATATGTTAGTCCAAATAACCTGAACCTAGTCTATGTCCTAATAGGTAAACTCACCAAGTATATAACAAAGTTGATAACTGGGATTGATAGGGTAAAAATTTTTAAGATTCTTGATTCATTTTTAATGTCTTTAGTTAATAATGTTATTTAGTTTACACTATCTACCTTGCATCGAGGTAACTAGATATAACGAGCTAACAGTTATAACGTGTTATTAGTTATAATGCGCAACTAAATTCACAGTTCATCATACTACTGTGCAATTTATAATGGCGTATATAACGTTCTCCTTTTATTGGTTCTTAATATTTAGGTATTGTTCTTTCGTTATTTAGTTGTTGTTTCTTATGACATCTTAATACAATTTACTATTTTTACTGGGAATAATACACAATTTTACTTTAAAAAACAGTTATCCCATAATCCTTAAAGTCAATAACATTGAAAATACATCATTTATGTTTTAAAATACCCTACATATAAAATTAAAGTTTGATATTTGAGAGCAAACTAAATATAAGGCCAAATACCTACCAAATTGAGATTGTTTTTCCCATGATTTACTATGGGATCACTTTTAAAGACAAATCGCATGCTGTGATTTTTCTGACGAGTATAGTAAGTTGATTTCATGTAATCGAATAAACTATCTTCCAATAAAGTCGTCCCAGGAACGCAACTCAAAAATATTGACATTGTCATTTGAAAGTTATCAACTTTAAAATATTTAACATACTTATGTCTGCATTGCCAATATGAACAAGTCAGATAATATTAGATTATTAGAATATTATTATCAAGTATTAAAATCAAAATTTGTTAGAATTTATATTTTGAGAACGGTTTTCGAAGTAGAAATCGAAATGTTAAAATAAACTTATTTTACAGTAAAATAATGGCTTTTTTTGATTGCCGTATTGCCAGATTCCAGTAAGAGCCTAAAGGTATCTATTGAATTCTGGCAGACAACCGTGTGGCAAATCTTTTTAAGACACCCTGGCATCTTTCGGCCGAGTAGGATACTAGTCCAGACGACCCCAGGGTAGTGCCGGATTAACCGTGTTCCGGCTAAAACCTTAACCACCGTTCCAGAGGTGGTCTTGCCACTTAATGAACAACTAAAATAAAAAACTAAAAACATAAATAACCATACCTATTACTGTATATCAGAAAATATTTCAGCCGTTATGCCATAAACTAATAAATAATAATAACCATATATTTCAGAACCCTGGTTCTATTTCCTCCTCTGTCTTCCTGCTTCTTTTTCTTCATCACCCCAGAAATCCGACAGTGTACTTCTCTCCTTTCTTTCTCTTCTCTCAACATTATGTTTACCATGTTTCTTTCATCCAACCCGAAACCTATTCGCCTCTCGAAATCTCCCCTCTCATTTGCTCATCTCCGGTAGTGAAAAATGTAGGCGGGAACGTCCGGTACCCCACAAACAGTACAGTCTGCAGAGGCAGATATGCCTATTCTATTTGTGAAGGTGCCAAAACTACCATGTCCGATCAGAAACTGCATCAGGAAGTAGTCTAGTTTCCCGAACTTACATTCCCACCACATCCTCAGATCGGCTATCCTTCATCCATTCTCTCTGCCACTCTACTATTGTCCTTTCTCTATCATACTCATCTATATTTTCATTCATCCTCCTCGCATACACCCTCGCTCGCTCTTTGCACAACAAAACGATCGGTATCACCGCTCCAATGACGTATAGAGCCTCATTTCAAACCATCCTATATGCGCTAGATGCCCTGAGGAGCCTTCGTCTGCGAAGTCTCCATCAGCTTAGCGTATTTCGTAGTGTTAAGTACACTACAGCACACGGGGGCAGCGTAGGTTACCATCGACTGGAAAACTCCATTTCAGATTATTAACGCCTCCAGATTTTGGTTCGCCTTCTCTACCGTCTTTTGGATGTGTACTCCGAACTGTAGTCCTTCCGCAAACCAGACTCCCAGATACTTAATCGATTTAACCGGTGCAACCTCCACACCTTCCACTATAAAGCAAAGAGAGGATTTTCTTGGGTCCCTTTGAGAACACCTCAGGTTTCTGAGGCGCAACCAGTACGAGATCATCGACATAAGTACAAGAGTGCATGCCCTTGGCATCTGTAGCCTCAACACCCCGTCGTACAGGACATTCCACAGGATGGGACCTAGTACTGAACCCTGCGGAAAACCCTGCGACAAACTGATGCTGGTATATGACCTTTTGGCCCTAAAACCATATTGGCGGTCGCTCAGCGCATGCTTTTCTTCGAGCTCTCGCTCAAGCGGACTTTCAAGCCGCCCGTACAATTTATTTAACAATTTACAAAATTGTGGCTTAGCCAGTAAAAATAGTATATAATATTTTATTACTAATGTTTATAATATTTAGCTATGCAAATTTAAAAATAAACAAATATAATAAAACTCTCTATATCAATAATCAAATTTAATCTATTTATTTATAAATACATTAAACCACACTTACCTCTTTTTTACTTCCAGATTGTACCCAGGTTTTTGGAGGGGCCGGAATATTATCATGTTTGTCTATTAGATCAGAAGATTGTCCCTAAAAATCATTGCTTATTAGGAATCATTATTTTCAGAAAAATAAACAGTAATATAGAAAAATATCTATTCAACGCTTTGGATTAAAATGTTTGGTCATGTTTAAATATATTGTGCAGCAATCCTATGGAGCTCCACTTATGATATGACTGGCTTCATGACAAAGGTACAAGCTATAAAAACAAACAAATAAAAAACAAGAGATGTTTGTATTGAACGAAAATATATTAGATGTATGTATATATGACATATCCAAATGCCGCCAATTCAACGCACTGTCAATTTTTCTTTTACCGAAATGTTTTTTTTAATTTTACGTTGTACCTAGTAATGAAGCTTCAAAGTTTTTAATAGTAAAATATGAACGTTTTTTTAAAGTGTCCTGTTATTATGATCTATTCGTTTAACAAATGTTTGTTTTAAAAAAGAAATTGTAACTCTCTTTAACTTGGTGCAATGTTTGTCTTATTCGAGGATTTTTACGCATTATTTCAATCTTCTTCTTCTTAAGGTGCTGTGCATTTCTGCGTAGGCATCCACCGTACATCGTCTTGTCAGGTGCGATGTTAAATAATCAGGATTAAATAATTCTGTTTTTAGCAGCATTGCGAAGCATTTCATAGCTGTGGATTCCTGTCCATTGTCGAATATTGCGCAGCCATGACATCTTTTTACGTCTCAGACCTCTCCTACACTCTATCTTCCCTTCGAATATCAGTTGCTGAAAAGTGTATCTTTCTCCTCGTAATATGTGCCCCAAGTATACAGTCTAACTAAAAAGTTCCCTATCCTGTAAGTCCGCTCTTCTGAGTACTTCCTCATTTCTGACCATGTGCGTCCATGATATTCTGAGCATTCGACACAGGCACCACATTTCAAACACTTCAAGTTTGTTAATGGAACTGGCCTTTAACGTCCATGCTTCCATTCCGTACAGGAGAACAGGCCACACGTAACACTTAAGCATCTTGTATCGGAGGTTGAAGTCCCAACTCTTGTAGGTATTTTATCATCAATTCGTGTTTTACATTATCGAAGGCTTTCTCGTAATCGAAGAAACAGACAAAAACATCCTTTCTTTGATCTAAACAATTCTGTATTAATGTTTGCATACTAAAGATCGCTTCTCTCGTGCCAAGTCCATTTTTGAAACCAAACTGACTCCATCCACTGACCTCTTCACATTTCTTAAACAATCTAGTGCGAAGTATTGTCAATCGCCAACTGTCAGTGTCAGTAATAATAATTGATTAGCGTCTATATAATCAGATTTCAGATGGTTATTATTCGTCTAAATTGTTTGATTTGATGGTTATTATTGCAAAGAAATCAAACTGAACTTGGTTTAATATCTCTGGGTTATTGTTAGTATTAACTTGTGGCTTAGTGTTATAAAAAATCCTAATTAAATATGATGAATTCCACAATTAAACTACAGTTTTTAAAACAAAACGAATATGAAGATAAGTTTGCTTCTACATGGAGTCCTAGCTTGTACCAAAATGCAATTTCCGAGATTAAATAGCTGATTGATTTTGGATTCTTTTTCTTATCTACATCTCAGAAGTATTTCAATGTTGTGCGCGGAAGCAAACGTAATATAAAGTAAGTAACCCAATAGCTAATTAATAAAAATTATTTTTTATATTTAGAGATGCACAATCTACACACATGTTTCAATCATTTGAGATAGCCTATTGTAGTATATAAAATTGTACAATTTTCAGTGATAATAAAGCATATTTCTATTGTGTTCTAAATTAATATACAAAGTTGTTTTACATGTATTAAATAAATAAATAAATTATATTTCGTTTTATTTTTTCGTAAATGGTATTGTGTATATTGGAATTTAAAAATAATTTGCAACTTTTAAAACTTAAAATGCAATTTTTTTTCAAATATACCAAATTATATTTAAATATTTTAAGCTTTATTTAAATTTTCCCACCCAAATATAATTTTGAAATTCCCGTGTAATTTCCCGTTTGAATTAGTTCCGATACAAATCTCTTGGAGCGCTGAATTTCATATCTTAATAAAGTATTGTCGTGAAGCATCTAGAGGTAGGTGATTTGTGGATTGTTTATAACAGAAATTTACGGATATCGTTAAAAAACAGATTATTTTTGAGGGCAACAGTAGGACAACTAACTTTTTTTCCAATTATTTTTCACTTTTTGATTAATTAATATAAATTGTTATTTGACACATGTAAAGTTAGGTACTCAAACAAAATTCTACAAAAATCCATTCAAATATAAAAAAGTTATTAATTACTGAAGTTTCGTAAAACTTTCAAATGCATTTTTCTCGAAACTACATTATTTTACATATCCTACTGTTGCTTTGAGGCGACGATATATATATATATATATATATATATATATATATATATATATATATATATATATATATATATATATATATATATATCTGTGGTGTTTGGGAGACATATGTTAACTCCAAAATGCATGTTTTTCTGTAGGGCAATTTTAATATTCCAGAAGATTTCTTAAATAGAAGGCAACAAAATAAAAAACCAAATATATCTCATTAAATACTTTATTAAGTGCTATAACAGATGTAACAAACAAAATATGTTTAAACATTTCTGTTTTTGATATATTGGCACATATCATATTTGTATCAAAAATATGGAGATTTAAAAAGTATTTTAATGGAGATAACGGTCCAAGAGGAAAGAACTTAAACTATTATTGGTCAATTTCTGTGTATTGGAAAACAGTGCTGTGGAAATATATGGCTTTACTTGCACCTAATTAAAACTTAAGCGTCGAAATTTTCATCATTGTCGCTTGTATAGTGTGTGATACTGGTTTGAGTGTGTTTAAGCGAATGGTAAAATCCATGATAGATTGGATCTATAAAGGGTAGTAGGTCGAGAATATCTTTATATTTCAAATAGTCTATGGGTAGAGGATCAATAAGCTAGAAGTATCTGAATATTATACATGGAAGTTGACCTGCCTCTTCTTAGCATCGACATTGAACAAATTGGTTCGTTGGGTTCTAATGTGTATTTGAAGCCTCTATAACTATCCTTTTTGTAATGTAGCCAAAATACGCTGTTCCAAACAAAAGAATTTTTATCCTTATCAACATTTCTTTTTATAAAATGCGTTTGGAAAATCTGAAAAAGTCAGTTGGTTTCATAAATTTTACATCAAAACGAGAGCTCGTCATTTTAATTACTGATACCCAGTTCTGTGGAACTGAAATTATGGCATTTCTTTTTTCACAAATTCCTCTATGGTAGCATGGTCTGTATCACATTCTAAATGAGTATAACCAGGAACTAGGAACTAGGAACTTATGATGAATTTCTTTTAGAGTGTTCTTTCCTTCAAGTGCTTTTAAAAACATAATCGGTAATATATTATTTCGGTTTTGAGCAGGGCACGTATCAGAATAAAGGACCAGTTTTTCTACCAGTTCTGTCAAGTCTTAAATAAACTGAAATAAACAAGATACGATCTCATCAGCTCCTCGTTGAACTACACCTTCATGCCACACGATGTCCGTTTTGTAATATTGTCCGTTTTGTGATATTGCGGATCGTCAAATTAAAAGTCCATAACTTTCTTTTATAGAAAGTCACACTAGATGTCAAATTAGGTGTAGTCAAACACTTCTGCAAATAAAATGCAACTACTACAAGCTTGCCTAAGCTCCGCATATTTTCTTCTTCGTCGCCTTGTTTTGTTGTATAATGAAAGGAAGCATTATTTTGGTATTGTTGGCTTTCATTTTCTAATCTTTGTTTTTCTTCTTCGGAGTCATTAGATGGCTTCTTAAACTTAGATAGAAGTAGACGATGCTTTCTTATTTCTAACAACGTCATCTAAGAAACCTCTGGTTTCGCCAAATACTTTCAAAAAGCAACATTTACAGATATTACCATTTATTTGCGCCAAATGAAAGTGATCATCTAACTCGTTTTAAGGGGCATTTGGAATCCGCTTTTCCATGTTCATGTTCAGAATCTGATGGTTCCCATAAATAGCTAGATCCAGAACTAAAATTATCACCAGAAGTTACTTCAGAAGCTAATATATTCAGCAGATGAGTATTTTTTTAAGATTTACTGGTGAAGATAGTGCTGGTTTTAAAACGTGCAAATTGTTTTCTTTACTTCCAGAGGGGCCTGGATATGAAGCTGATTCAACATCAGTCAGTTCTACACTAGTGAGAAACGAGGCATCCAAAATGTAGCTAGTAACACCTGTGCTTACTAGCAACTATCAAACTTAATACTTACATTATTAGAAGACGACCGTTTATTTTCTAATAAACACATCTCAATTATTTTTGTAATACGAAAACTTGTATTATAAGCCATATTTACCAATTTACTCGATCGCATTTACTACGTCATTCGCCTTCGAAGGATTTAGACAAACTGAATTAATACTAACTTACTGACTAAGTGTAACTAACTAGAGATCGATAGACCTTAACATTAACACGATGCAATCGACACGTTCGTGAACACGACCAAATGCTCATTGATACATTCATGTTATTTACCACTTACATAAAAAAACTTACAGAAAATGCCACTTAAATATAATATTTATTTGAATCAAAGATATTAAGTGGGACAAAGCATAAAATTACCTAAATTTGATTTACCTATTTGATTTAATTATAATAAGTACCAATTATGATATATGGACCAAAATCTTTTACCAAGAGAATGTGCATATTATTTGATCTAGACATGATCAGTACCAATTATCAGATATGAATGTTATTGTTTAGTTTTGTTTTCGGGTACATGATATAATATTTTAACAGGACTATACCAAACAAAATTAGAATAATAAGGACTTATAGATACTATACCAAGCCGTGGCTCAGTTTCTAGACGTGATGGACATACCATAGTCAGATCAAACGAAAATAGATCAAAAACAAAATGCAGTGCAGGACTTTACAAAATTTTCGCTATTTTGGAGTTATCATGTTTCTCCCAAACACCACAGATATATATATATATATATATATATATATATATATATATATATATATATATATATATATATTACAGGAGATGCCACATATGAGATCTATGAGATCTGTTACATATTACGGACTCTTCAAAAGATAATCATAATATGGAAACCGACGGTATACTTATAATAAAAGATCGTTAGGCAACTCCCGAGATGGTATGACGACAAAGTCAGATCAGGAAAATTATTGATGCTTGAACAATTCGTTTGAGACATACATAAAGAATTAACCAAACAATGGTAATAAGAACCTAATAGTTTAGATGGACTTTACTTTTACTATCGCACTAATTGTGGCACCAATTAAATTATGTATAAGATATCTGCTAAAATACAACTAAATGTGGAAAATATCTACTTACTTTTTTCATAAGAGTATCTAATACAATAGCAGCTACACTTTCGCTGGCATCTTCTTTCGTTTTTGCAGGTGAACCAACTATGAGTTGTCCGTCGCTTAATGTTATCTGGGCTTTGATCATGTTGTTTTCCATCGAGAAATATTGATATCGTGGTGTACCCAAACCATTCGACTGGTAATAAGTTAATAATCTTACACTGGCAGGAATTTTCGCAACTTGCTAAAATATTAATATTTCAATAAAAAATGAACTATTTTTATTGCACATACAGAGTGAGTTTTAAGTACGGACCGCCTCCTCAATTCTTTCGGAAACGTCTTGAACGATTTATATTGTTACGAAAATAAAACTTACGGTTAGAATTATTTACAAAGTTTTATTTAAACGTTTTACAAATGTTATGATCCTAAAACTGTTGCATAAACTAGTCTTTGATAACTGCCATTACATTACAAATAAACGGTCTTATATAGCTAGGAAATAAATTTGAGAGTTCTGGTAAACAATCGAAGAATCCGAATCCAATTTTTTACAGTTCCGGATTATTCCGAACATATTGTTCGTAGTCTATATTAGTCATTCATATTATTAGTCACGCGGAAGTTTACACCAGGACTTGTAACAATGCAAATTTTGGTTTGTGAGGGTTTTGTAATAATATTTCCTCTATCCAAATACCATAACTTCGGAGATATAGCTAAATTTATATTACATTGGTCCAAGTTAAAATGATACATTAAGATAACTATGAGTGTCGCAGTAACAAATTTGACGTTTCACTTAACTATTTATTGACACTAACCTGAATAGGAACGAATTGAGATATTAGATATGGTGACATGCGTAGGAGTTAACAAGAAACGTGTAATATCTTTAATAATTTATAGCCTAACTGAAATTCTATAACAAGATCTACTGCAAGTTGGTAAAAAAGTTTAACCAAACTGTTGCAAGAATTAACCAAATCAAGACGCAGAAAAACAACTGAAGACAAATCTTTAGATATTTGTGTCATGTTAGACGGCGATTCACACTTGAGTATTAGATAAATGTCCAAAGAATTTTCCAGACATGTATTGAAAAGTTTCAAAGATCACATGTCTTCGTTGGATTAAAGTAAACGGACACCATTTTAAGTATCTGTTGTACCCCAGTGATTTTATGATGTATGTGAATAGATATTGAAGATTTTTTAAATTAAACGAGTTTATTAAATCATAACTATATTATTTTAACTTGGGCGGATATTATATAAATTTAACTTCGAAATTATCGCATTTAGGTATGAACAGAAAAATATTCAGTCGTTTTAAGGATTTTAAAAAGAAAAAATATCCAGGGTATATAATCCATTTAAAATAAAAATGTTCATTACATTTCCACAAAAACTGAAAATCTGACAAATGTAAACACCACCATAAGATAAAAGGACAAATATAATATAATATTTAAAAATAGGTACTTGTAATGTGGCTCAAATTAGTGGTTTCTGAAATACATGGTACTGACAAATGACAAAAATATAAATGTTTCCAGATACTAGTTTAAAAATTGTGACGGTAAACATAATTATATTATTATATTTAAGTTAACTTCTAGATGCCATTTACACTGATCACTAACCAACGCATTACTGCATTGGTCAGTGATCGATGTAGTAAAGTTTGAGGGCTTGGGAGACTGAGATCTCGGAAGTACTGAAGAACTTCCAAAGTTATATCAATGCCCAGTCACATCATCACCCCGCCCAACTTAATTCAGTTATCAACACTCTTGTTTCCTGTTCCATAAGACTTAGTGACAACAATCACAGATCATCCGAAATCAATTCAATAAGGCAAACACTCTTACAAAACGGCTAACACAAAACCCAAATCAATAGGAGCATTTAAAAACATCTAAACCCCATTCCACCCAAAAAAGAAACCTTGCTGCCTGATCAACCCAAAATCTTTCTACCTTTTATTAAAAGTGTCACTGACAAGTGACTAAACACCAAAGCAATCTTCACTACTTACTCCAAGATATCCAATCTTGTCTGATCCGTAAAACACCAAATCCCCAATGAAGACCATGGTGTCTACGAGATACTTTGTTCCAGTTGCCCACGTACATACATAGGACAGACAAACCGACAAATCCATAACCATATTTACGAACATTCTATATATGTAAAACATTCCGATACTACTTCAGCTCTAACCCAACATCATATTCATAGAGGCCACAAAACAGATTTCAAAAAAGCAAAAAGCATCGCCCCATACGGTCCTTTAAATCGAGAATCATTGCCTAACAGCTTAAAACGGTGTTTTCCCCATTTTTTGGGTATAATTGTCTGTAATGTTTGCGTGGTTTTAAACATTTCATATTTTTACTACGTCCTAGATAGTTTTTTAACCGTACTTTCTGAATTTTTCTTTTGCCGACTTTATATTTTTTAATGGTTTTGTTAATCTCTCTCTTTAACTCTAGGTTTTAAATATGAACGGTCTTGTTAATATTGTTTACATATTACTACAATAATTACTTACCGCTAACATATCAAATGAAAGGTTTGGCGATTTTGCTTTATCGTGAACAATTTTGGGACAATTAACATCTGAATTCTTTTCTCGACTTTCCGTCGTACGTTTTTCATTTTCGATTTTACCTATCCCTAAAAGACTCTTTAAGTAATCCGTATCGACTGTCGGTGGAGCCTAAAAATATAATTATCAGAAAATTAACTTCTATTAACTGTCTTACCCTAAAGATTATTTTATATGGGATTAAATCACAATTTATTGTAATGAAAATTATATTTTCCATTTGTTTTGCCAATCCGAAAATGGTTTTCAAAAATTCTAAAATAAATTTATGAATGATCTTAACCTGCAACTATTCATAATTGGCGGTATCTGGTAATGCCAATTACAACCCGCCACTTCAACTTTCAACACATTATTACCCAACGTCAATTTTAAACATTTCCTGATTGTGCTTTAATCCCATATAAAATATTATTTAACTAAAACACCCACAATAAAACAGTTTCACAATGGATTACCTTTCTTGAACTACCCGCCTTGGTGTTATTTTCCTGTGACTAAAACAATAAAAAGATTTTTCAATATAAGGTTGAATGTTCGAATAATTAAACTTGAGGGTGTACAAGGCAACTATCGAACACGGTGATTAATTTAATCTTGCCTAAGTACTTTCGATCAATAGATCATCTTCAGGGGCATTTCGTCAATTGTGGCCTATCCGACATAGTAGAATGTCATAAATGTAAAATCTGGACATAACAATACAAAATACACTACACTAAGACAAACAAACACTTTAAAATTTATATGGAGAAGCTACATATTGTGATATTGTGACATTCTGTCTCCGGCTTCTTCACAATATGTAGCTTCTCCATATAAATTTTAAAGTGTTTGTTTGTCTTAGTGTAGTGTATTTTGTATTGTTATGTCCAGATTTTACATTTATGACATTCTACTATGTCGGATAGGCCACAATTGACGAAATGCCCCTGAAGATGATCTATTGATCGAAAGTACTTGGGCAAAATTAAATTAATCACCGTGTTCGATAGTTGCCTTGTACACCCTCAAAGTTTAAAAAGATTTTTGTAAAATATATATATATATATATATATATATATATATATATATATATATATATATATATATATATATAAAGCTTTCGAGTTTATTGTACTCTTTTTCAAAACGTAGTAAAAATTAACATAAAAAATTACATTAGAAAAATGAAGTTATTATATCTTCAATTATTATTATTATTTTTATTTGTGTTTTTTCTTTCTTAATTACTAACAACTAACTATCCAGAGCATCATCTTGGGTTCCCTTAATGAGAGCTATACAAGATGATGCTCTACAGATTCTGGATGATCTCAATAACCTCCATTCTAACATCTCTTTTACTCTGGAACCAGAATCTGACAATAAGTTGAACTTCTTGGATATGACTATATCCCGTAACAAAGATTCTTTAGAGTACAACATTTATAGAAAACCCACTCAAACAGATCACGCTATACATGAAACGTCTAACCACCCAACTCAGCATAAAATGGCTGCTTTCAACAGTTACATTCATCGATTACTTAAATTTCCTCTTTCTGATGATAATTTTAATACAGAACTCAATACTCTTAAGCAGATTGCTATCAATAATGGCTATGATCCTAACATTATATACAAACTTCTAAATAGAGCTAAACTAAAAATTGCAGAAAAGCTTGCATATTCATCACAGTCTTTTCAACCTAATGTTTCAGATAACATCAGATATTTCTCCTTCACTTATATTAGCAACATTTCCAATAAAATATCTAAACTTTTTACTTCTACAATTGATAACATCAAAATCTCGTTTAAATCACATAACACTTTAGGCTCCTTCTTAATCAATACCAAAGATAGGATGAATACACTTGATAAAAGTGTTATTTACAAATTAAAATGTGATGATTGTGATGCCTCTTATGTAGGTAGAACCATCAGAAAGTTATCCACCAGAGTCTCTGAACATTTGAAAAGACCAAACTCTTCAAGTTTTGGTCAACACTTAGTATCCAGTAACCACAATTTTAACATCAATTCTGGTTCATCTATCTTACATGACATCAGTAGAAAGAAAAACTATCTTGAGTTGGATTTATTGGAAGATTTGGAGATTACAAGGGAAACAAATGAAAACTCTCACTGTCTTAATACTCAAATTAATTTAAATTGTACTAAATTTAATCCCATATTTAAAAACTTTATTACAGCTCCACCTCGTAGAGGGCCCAGCTCGACTGTTTAGACTTCATGCACTGAGTATTTACATATTAATTTGAAAGTTCTTCCATTGACTGTGGATTCAACTGAAATACTTGGATTACAACCCATTTATATATTTTGCTTTTAATTTTGATTTTAATTTTTAGCAATTCAACTGAATATTCAGATTTTCTTTTTACAGTTCTGATAGCGCTTAGTGGACCATTTTATTGTAGTCAACTATCCACTGTCTAATATATTGTTTAGTCTATTTCTTACATTCATACTTTATGTCAACTTCAATTGCTCTCAAACTAACATCCTAATTATTATAGACAGGTTTGAGTGTGAGATCTGGATTATTCAATCTACATAAAAATATTAGATATAATTTTATATTTCTTCAGTTGATTTCCTATAGTGGTGTCAGTTGGACCTTTGGTCAATACTTAGTTTCATAGAATCTTGAAAGGCGCAGATCCCTTATCTATTGTAACTGCCCTTCACAAGCTGTCATTTGTCACATGTCATCTCAATATTTCCGCCTCCGCCATGCTGGGAGCCATTCTGTCTCCGGCTTCTATATAAAATGTAGCTTCTCCAATTTTAAACTTTAAAGTGTTTGTTTGTCTTTGTTTAGTGTATTTGTTATGTCCCAATTTACATTTATGACATTCTGTTACTGCTGGATAGGCCACAACTGACGAAGTAAGTCTATAAACGTTAATCACATAAAAAAACTTTTTTCAACTGGAGTTTTTATCCAAGTGAATTAATTTTCCTTTTTTAAAAAACGTTTCTTGGCTTATTTCAGATGCCCCTGAAGATGATCTTGTGATCGAAAGTACTTGGGCAAGATTTGATTAAATACTGTGTTCGATATTTGCCTTGTGTACCATCAAAGTTAAATTATTCGAACATTCAACCTTATATTGATATATATATATATATATATATATATATATATATATATATATATATATATATATATATATATATATACATTCAGGAGTACAAAAAATTCACATATTGCCACCGTGCTAGAATCATCAATGAATACTTAGAACACCTCCGAATTGGCTAGCTTGCAGCCCCAACGTCAATCCAATCGAACATCTATGAGACACACTGGGGGCTATCGAATTAAATACACCTAACATATATATATATATATATATATATATATATATATATATATATATATATATATATATATATATATGTATATATTTGTTTTGAGGTTTCCGCGGGAGCTATATGTGGTGTCACTATTTTTCCGAGTTTGACTCCGCGTTGTAAAATGCTGGTTTTCTTGAAAACCATTGTTTTGGCGACGTTTCGGCAAGGTCTCACTTGCCATTCTCAAGCCTGGTGGATCTACTTCTCGTCGTTACTCGTGGTCTATTAGACCAGTACTAATCGAGTAACGACGAGAAGTAGATCCACCAGGCTTGAGAATGGCAAGTGAGACCTTGCCGAAACGTCGCCAAAACAATGGTTTTCAAGAAAACCAGCATTTTACAACGCGGAGTCAAACCCAGAAAAATAGTGATAGCATATATATATATATATATATATATATATATATATATATATATATATATATATATATATATATGTAAATCTTGAATTTTTCCAAGGAACTATTATAGCACTAAGGTTACACATGCAAGCCTCCAAATTGGCATTTAAAATATTATAACAAAGGAAATCTAGTATCCTTCATATGGATTATAGATAATATTTTAATAAGGGATAACAAAGTAGCAAATACGTCTTATTGTACCATCTTCTAATCATCTAATCTGAGGTTGGCCGAATCTCTAATATTCCTCAGCCAAGATTTCTTCTTTATCTTCATAAAAAAAAATTTGTTTAAAATCCTTTATAAAAGGTATATAAAAATGCCTCAAACGGGCTATCACAAACACATTGCAAAACGTTTTCGGATTAAACAATCCATCATCAGTGCAAACCTGAAAGTATATAACCACTTTAATTAAAAAGAACGTTAAATGAAAATGTTGACAAAGGTTAGAGCAAAATGTGGTTAATACTTACGGTTGTACATGCTAGTAGCCACCAAAATATATGGGTAAAAACCCTTTAAATGTTATAAATTTGAAGTTGTTTTACATTATTAGTATTTCTAATTTGTGATGGTTAAGTTACCGTTGGATAGGTAACATAGCGGCGTATGACTCTACATGAGTAAAATGGTCCTGAGACGAAGTGTCTACGAGGACCTGTTGATAACAACTGATCAAAATGACATTGTTGACAAGTTAGGACGGATGTTGTGTCAGAGCAGTCAGTGTAACTTACGGTAGTTGTCTAAAATTGACAGATGTCAGCCTTATTTAAAATTGAAAAAGTTAAAATTATAATAATGTAACAGTATCAACCATCAATATTGTAATCTGTATTGTAAATTAATCAGATAGGTATATTTGTAACATTGAAAATTGGTTTTTTAAAAATTAATGTGGGTCAACTAGAATTTATGAAATTTTGTAGGATTGATAGGCAACCAACTATACATGTGTAAGGATATATTTATTTTAAATATTTATTTTAAGCTAGATATTTTGTCAAAAGGCCTTGTATGTTGTGAGACATTTGGTACCTAGAAAATGGTAAAAAGGCACATGTGCTAAGATGGGTCCTAAAGATCTTCATCCCATACGTAGCATGTACAACCGTAAGTATTAACCACATTTTGCTCTAACCTTTGTCAACATTTTCATTTAACGTTCTTTTTAATGAAAGTGGTTATATACTTTCAGGTTTGTACTGATGATGGATTGTTTAATCCGAAAACGTTTTGCAATGTGTTTGTGATAGCCCGTTTGAGGCATTTTTATATAGCTTTTATAAAGGATTTTAAACAAATTTTTTTTGTGATATATGGTATACAGCCAGCTACAGGAACTTAGTTTCCTCGTGGAACTTTATCTTCATGTTTTATTTTTTGTTGTCTTCCTTCCCCACCGAATCGTGGGTTCCGATCACAATGACCAGTAATTTGGTGATTGTCGTTTACCATAGCCATAAAGATATATCATTAGGAAGAATTAATTGGGATAGTTTCCACTGGCACTATCCAACATAGGAGAATTTTTTAATAGAACTTCCGCTTCTATCTCTCATTATAGCGCTACAGCCAAATCGGGTTCTGGCCTCCCCCAGCATCCGTCGCCAAGCATCCCTTTCCTTGGCTACTGTCCTCAAGTTATCCAACCTTAAAATCTCATTAGCTCGGTTCTCACTTCGTCTCACTTTCCACCTCTTCCTTGGTGTCCCTACTGGCCGACGTCCCACCATAGTTCCACTAAGAGTTCTACTACTGTTCTGATATCATCTATTCTTATAAGGCGATTTGCTATAGAGCGTTCTTTGTAATATTGGTATATCTCGTAGTTAAACCTTATTCTACACATCCCATTGTCGCAAATGGAATGTGGAGAATGAGCTTCCGCTTCATATTTTGCACATAAAAACTGTATTTTCGTCGTTTTCGATTAATAGGTTTATACCGCCAGTATGATGAAACAACGGAAGGTTTCATATTAACAAGGACACCTCTTACGTGGATCAAAATATCCCCCCTAATACTTACACTCGCCGGCAAGATTGATGCTCTACGTTCCACGTTTAGAAAATAACATTGCGGAGATAGGGCCATGTATTTCTTATGGACGATAGCAACGCGGCGTTGCCACGAGATACACAAGCACAATTTAGGGTTGTATAATTTGTATTTTCGTTTCCACAAACATGAAATAAATTAATGTTTTTTAACGTAATTGACCCAAAAGTGCCCATTCGAAACAAGAGATGAAAAGTAGGGAAAATGATTTTAATTAGATAAATAGTATTTACAAAAGATAATTTTATTTTATCTTATTTTAATTATAGTAACGATAGTTTATTTGTTTTTCGGTGAGAATACGATATGCCATGAATCATAGAAATCAGTAGAAAATATTGACCGCATGGAATGCGTATATCTAATTACTAATTGCAACTTAAAATAATACGATGTGCGTATGTCAGCTATTTTATGTCGTTCTCTGACTACATAGTGATAATAAGGCTTTTATTTAGTAGTTATTCTGACTTTACAATTAAATGTTAATTAAAAATGAAAATTCAAAAATTAAGCAAACGGAATATCTTGGACATCCGTGCAAAAGAGAGTGTCTGAGAGTTTTGGCAACACTGATCTCCATAAGCGTAATGTTATTTTCTTAACTTGAAACAAAGAATAGTAGGGGGCCAGAGAGAAAAGTACATTCCTGGTTTAGAAACATGAAATTTGTGTAATGTCGCAGACGCCAAGTCCATTTTTCGACTACCTGAGAAGGGCACTTCATACCTTTGAGTAGGACAGAAACTGAAACGCCTACACACTATCAAGCGTACGGCATTAGAAGCCATTAGAAGAATTTAACAAAATATAAACCAATATAATCATAATAATGTATACTAATATTATTATGATTATTAAATATAACATACGATAAAGTATTACCTGCGGTTTACTATCTAGTTTTTTGTTATTATCGGTTTTATAAAAATTATATCTATTATCACCATCTTTACTCTTGTTACCATCAATTTGAGTTTGTAAATGATTTTGATTTAAGTTTGGTCGGTCTCTCCAATTTTCGACAATGAGTTTCTCTGGAGGATTTTGAAAATCTTCAGGTTTCATTAACTTAGGCTGAACGTTGTTATCATGAGAAAGCTTTTGTACATCTTTCACAGGAAATATTTCTCCAGTTAAACCATTCCTCTCAATATCTTCACTACCTTGATGATTACCTACAGACAAGTTGTCCTTAGGTACCTTTTCATAATTTGAAACATTTAAATGTCTATTATCGTTTATTATTTTCTCATTTTGAGTTTGATTGTTGTCAAATGGATAAAATGGGTTAGGTATCACATTTCCGGGATTATTATACATGGTTGGCATTCTAAATGCATTGTTTGATGAGAAATGAGCAAACGCTGAATTAGGTTGATTGATTGGTAATTTAAATTGAGGAGGCATCATACATGGTTGAACATGTTTTTGCTGGCTAAACCACTGTTGAACTTGGGGTGGCTGGAATATCGACTGCGGCTGTGGTTTGATCAAGTTATTAAAAGTGTTGCTTTGATTAGGTTGTTCTAATCGGTTAGAGTTTGTAGCTTCTGCTTTTGCGATTAGCTCATCTGAAAAAAAAAATGAGGTTGTTATTAAAAAAAAATTAATTAATTCAACATTGTTAAACAAAAGAAGCAGCGGATATATTATACGATGCAGACCAGAGAACTGTTAGGCTTGTACTGCTCACAAAATTTAATAAACTTATTTAATGCTAACATGTTACAACTGCGACGACTTTTGAGTGGTTGTTTATGGTATCATAAGTAGTAAAATAATGGTACTGAAACAGTACATCAGAGAACAGTGATCGGAGTATTGGTCATTTCATTAGTTTTATTTCAGTTTTGTTTTGTTTTCAGTACTAGTGACATGTATTCAAAAATATTTCATCTGATTCTTTTCTAAGCATTGTTAATGGAGAAAAAGAACACTATAAGTTGTCAACTTGTGTGTATGAGACTTGAAACTTTCCATTTCACTGTTCAGAAATATCCTGGTTGTCACAAAGTAGTTGCTCATAATGTTAAACGTTTGCTTGCTGATGAACAGAAGATTTTCTATTCGGCATTCTATTTATAGAATTTGGGTATATTGGGTGGAAATCAAACTTCAGGGTATGCATTCAGAATATGTGTAAACTTTCGTAATCTCTGAAACCAAAACATTCGCCCACGCTCCTCGGTAGAAAAGTAATGGTATTTTTTAAGTACAAAAGTGTGCTGTTTAGGACCATGGACTAAAGATTAACTCTGAGCGATATATACATATACCTATATTTTAACAAAATTTAAAATAGGAACACCAAAAAGATCAATAAAATTACTTTTGAAATCAAATGATACTAAAAATAAATTGGGGAGGTCTTGGGTCGAAAATTTAACTAACGTCTTAATACCTAACGACGAACAGGAGATTTTAAGCTTGGAAGACAACTTTGCAGTTCCTATTCACAATAAAAACGAAATACCTGTATCTGATATTATATGCTCGATTTAAAATTCAATTTCTAATTTAAATTCAAATTGACAATATCAAATAAGATCAAAGTGTAATATTTTAACTAATTTTAAAAACAAAAATAAATACTCATTTGAAAATAAAGCATTACATGAAAAAATTCAAAAGACGAAAGCCTTCTTGAGGGAAAATCCTAATGTAGTTGTACTGAAACCTAAAACCAACAAAACCGTTATTATGGAATCTAATGATTACGACAATAAAACGAATGATCTTTTAAAAGACAAAACCATATATCATAAACTTAGAAATGATCCCACCGATATTTTCCACAAAAGAAATAATGCTTTTATTAACAGATGGGATCAAAATGGTTATGTATCCCAAAATGCAGCAAAATCACTGAAGCTACACAATTCCACCAAAAATTTATGGTTTACCTAAAACAAACAAGGAGAATGTTCCTCTACATCCTAACGTTTCCAGCATTCAATCACCCTTCGAAAATCTTTCAAAGTTCTTAAAACATTATTTCTAATGTCAATAAAAATCCTTATGTATATTAAACATTTCAATGACCTTATTTCTTAAATTAAAAACATTCAGGTACCAAATAACTATAAATTATACACTCACTATACACTAACATCCCAATAAAACTTGCCACTGACATCATTAAGAAGAAGTGGAATATCATAAAAGAGTACCTACAGAGCACAAGAGAACATCACACTGCAAGAATTCCAATCATCTGTAGAGTTAACATTAAACTCAACATTTTAGAGAGTCAACTTTTTATATAAGGACGAAATATACCAACAAATGGATGGATGTGCAATGGGTGCAAGTATTTCTAGTGTGATTGCTCAACTGGTTCTGGAAGATTTAGAAGATCCTTTAATGAGTAATTTAGATTTTACTGAACCATTCTTCTACCGCTATATCGATGACTGTATCTGTGCTATCCCAACAAATAAATTGAACGAAATTTTAGATAAATTTAACAGTGACCATCCAAAATTAAAGTTTACTACAGAAATTCACGATATATCAACAATAAATCTCATCATCCATTCTCTCATAAGAAGTCTGTAATTATAAGTCTTTCTAATAAATCTATAAAACTAACAGATCCAGAATACAGACCAATTCCAATAAAAAAAGGAAAAAATGCGCCTTTCTAAATAATGCATATCCCGAACATCTAATCGAAACTATTTTCAAATCAAGATTAAATTTTACAACAATACAAATAACAATAAACCTAACAGTAACAAGACTACGTATACAACTCTTCCATTAAAAGGTTTATCCGAACAACTAACAAATCTTTTGGCCAAACATAACATAACAGGCTCCCAAAGGCCAAAGACCTTTTAAATAAATGTTTCACTAAACTAAAAACACAAACTCCAAAACTCAAAAAATCACATGTTGTTTACGAGATACCATGTATTAACTGTGAAGGTGTCTATATCGGGCAAACTAGTCAACTGCTTCAATCCATAATTCGTTCTCACAAATATGATAGGAACAACATCACTATGCTCACAAAACATGAAAATGAGAAGAAGTATAAATTTGACTTCGAAAACATCAAAATTTTAAAAACCAAACAAAACAAAAAGAAAATGGAGATATATAAATCAATAGAAATAAAAAGAAATACCAACGCAATCAATGACAAAAAAGATACAGAGAATCTAAATAAATAGATAAAATATATTAAAATATACTTCAATCTGATTTCAATAATAATAAATATAACACCATAAAAAACTCCACGTCATAACATATCTCCACTTTACCTATTTCGGAAACACCAACGATAAGTCCATATAAAAATAATTATATACTAATGAGATATCACATTTAAATTTTTACTACTGTCAATTCATTAATGCCAGTGTCCCGTTTTACGTTTTGGTATTTTTTTTATATATTTTAAAATAACTTTTTGTTTCTAATCATTACATTTTAGAATCTGGACAAAAAGCAATGGTTTCCTGCCGAAATGCTGATTTCAATGGACAATAAAATCTAGTTCCAAATTTAATATTACTTATTGAACCTAAACCCCAGAAATGCTAATTTTATATATATATATATAATATATATATATATATATACATATATATATATATATATATATATATATATATATATATATATATATTATATATATATATATATATATATATATATATATATTGATGGTGTTCTCAGGAGCGATCATTAACGCACCAATCAGCGTACGAGTAACATCTAACATTAGAAAAATTGTTCAATGGTTGGAATAAGGGTTATTCCAACTTTTGAGCAATTTAAAATTTCCTATTGGCCGATTCTACGGGAAGTCCACTTTCCTACGTCATAATCCCTCCGAACCAAGGATACGATGACTCTAGGTACGGTGTTTTACATACACCTAGAATCTGTCTTTTATTTATGCTATTGTTTTATTGATATATTTTTTGTGTGCATATATTTTTTTGATATTTTTGATATTTTGTATTTTTGTACGTTTTCTTACGGAAACCTCTCCGAGGCTTAGCGTCTGAAACGTACGCATTTATTGCCATTTTATTGTGCTTATTTTTGTCGTCGAAGAATATACTCTTGCGTAGTTAAACGCTCGACAATTCTACAATTTATTTGATTTGTTTTTGTACGTTTTCTTAAGGACACCTCTACCAAGATTAGCGTCTGAAACGTACGCATTTATTTGTTATTTTCTATTGCCATTTTATTGTGCTTATTTGTTGTCGAAGAATATAGTCTTGCATGACCATACGCCTGACAATTATTCTATTTATTTGATTTATTATATCTTGTGCTATTTTAGTATTGCCTTTGTTTGTATAATTTATCATTTCTCTTGTTATCCTTCCGTAAGTCAAGAAATCACCACTGTATGCCTTTTTATTAAAGCATGATATTTAAATATATATGATTTTTCGATTGGTGAATACAATCTTCTATTTTCTTTTGTTCTTATCCATTTTTATGACCCTATTGGTATCCTTACTGTCATAAGCGATTCGTGATATTTCCGCAAGGATCATACACAAGTCACTCATAGCATACGTATTTGTGTCCTTGTGTACGAAAACGTATACAAGGTATCGATACCAATTTGTAAAAACGTTTATTTATTCCATATTGCTATACGGAGTGAAAACATGGACTCTCGGAATTACAAGTATGAGGCGTATAGAAACCTTTGTGATGTGGGTTTTTCGTAGGATGCTGAAGATCTCTTGGACAGAGAACGTGACCAACAATGAGGTGCTGAGAAGAATGGGTACTAAAAGAGAACTCCTAAATATTGTAAAAAACAATAAAACGAGTTATCTGGGACATATTTACAGAGGAGAGAGATACAACTTCCTACGACTTATAATGGAAGGGAAAGTGGAAGGAAGAAGAGGTCCAGGAAGAAGAAAATGCTCCTGGTTGAAGAATGTAAGAGACTGAACAGGTATGGACACACATTCGATATTAAGAACAGCTCAAGATAGAAAGCAATTTGCTGTAGTTATGGCCAACCTTCAGTAATGGAGAAGGCACCTTAAGAAGAAGAAGATACGAATACGTAAAGAACTGCACACCGGAAGAATGGTAGACACCCGTACTACTTCCCCATCCAACTCCCAGAATCGTAAGAAGTCCGCAGAGCCAGATATGGGCCATTCCAGCCCTATCGACGCCTCTCGGCAACAATGGCACGCTATATACATTATATGTGTACTCTTCTTCAGTGCCTTATCCGGTCCGGATGTTGGCGATCATCAAGGCTATCATGGTTTTGTTGACTGCTCTGCGAAACAGCTCCGCGGAGGTCACCCCAAACCATTGTCGGAAGTTTTTCAACCACAAGATACGACGTCGTCCCGGTCCTCTACTGCCAAATACTTTACCCTGCATAACGAGTTGAAGAATTCGATATTTTTCTTCGTTCCGCATCACGTGCCCGAGGGACTCAAGCGGATTTCAAGCGTGGTCTTGCCTAGATCAGAAAAAGGATAATGATTTCTATCCATATATATGCTTAACGTACCTTTCTAAGTGGATATTTGCCCACGAAAGGGATGTGCAGAGAAAACAC